AGAGGAGAGGACTGGGTTTGATTCCCAGTACACATGTGACTTACAACCATCTGTAACTCCAGTCACAGAGGATCTGATGCCCTTTTGTCCTCCTTGGGCACCTGATGATGCACAGAGAGACATGCAGACACAATACCAGTACAATATAAATTTCTTTAAAAATCCAAAAATAGTGTCTATATCATCATATACAGCTTAATGGAATTCCACAAATCATTGCCATGTAACCAGAAGAGTTTGCTCTGGCTCAGACCCGGCTTATGTGCCTACTTCTGGTCTTCCACTGGGTGAGGGAAAATGCTCTCCCTTCTGTAAGAACTGGTTTCATGGGTGAAGTAAGGAGTTTAATAAATATGACCCTAAACCTGTCTCTGCTACTTTTCCCTTTCACCTAATGGTTCATGCCTAGTTGGTGAATTTGGTGATACCCGAACGCATTGGTTACCTTTCCCATCGTTGTGACAAAAATGCCCGATCAAAACGACCTAAGAAAAGGAGGGCTAATTTTGAGTCCCAGTCCATCACGATCTTGAAGGTGTGGCGTCAAGAACATGAGGCAGCTGGTTCCATTGTGTCTGCAGTCAGGAAGCAGAGAAGACCAATTCTAGTCCCTGGCTCTCTGTTACATTTGTAGTTGGCCCAGGCCCCTGCCCAATGATGATAATGTTGTCCACAGTTAGTTAATCCTTTCTGGAAATTCCATTATTGACACACCCAGGAGTATACTTGCATGTGACGATAAATGTAGTCACACTGACAATGGAGATTAACCTGTCGCTGGACGTCCTTGGTTAGTCACGTCCCTTGAAAGGAAGCTTCATAATGGGTTGGTTGTCCTCTGTCCTGCCTCTTAGGTCTTCCCTGGTCCTGCATTTTCTGTGACAAAGTGAAGTACCTCTGCCTAACCTTGGGGCTCACTTCCCTATCACGCTAATCTCAGTCCTCCAACTCCTTCCAATCTTTTCCATAGTTGATAAACATCATACTTTAACCTTTATTTTTTATTGAAGTAAAATGAATATAAATTTTACTGTTAATTGTCTTGTTGAAAGTACACGATTCAGTCATTTTTATTTATTTTTTGTATACAACTATCATCACTATACACTTCCAGAACATTTTCATCATCTTTTTTTCCCCAAGAAAGCCCACATCCACTGTGGTGGTTTGAAAGAAAACAGCCCCCAAAAGGAGCAGCACTATTGGGAGATGTGGCTTTGTGGAAGTGGGTGTGGCCTTGTGGGAGGAAGTGTGTCACTGTGGAGGTGGGCTTTGAGGTCTCCTTTGCTCAAACTATGCTCACTGTGAAACACAGTTCACTTCCTGTTGCCTTCAGATCAAGATGTAGGACTCTCAGCTATTCCTTCTCCAGCACCATGTCTGCCTGCATGCCACCATAGCCCGCTATGATTACAATGGACTAAACCTTTGAAACTGTAAGCCTCCCCAATTAAATGTTTTCCTTTCTAAGAGTTGCCGTGGTCATGATGTCTCTTCACAGCCATAGAAACCCTAACTAAGACGTGCATTAAGCATCCACTCCTAGATCCTCTACCCATGGCTGCTGGTGCCTGCTTATTTGTGTTCTGTCTCTATAGACTTGCCTATCAAGACATTCATATAACTAGACTAAGTGTGCAAGCAGGTTTGACCAGAGTGTTTCACTTACTGGAGGCTCTCGAAGTTCATCAGTGTTGCTACATGTGTCAGTTATTTCCTTTATTTTTACTTCTGAATCATATTCACTTGTATAATAGTACATTTTGCTCATCTAGTCAATGGCTGATAGAAACCTATATTGCTTCTGCTCTTGTGAATATTGTTGCTATCGATATTCCTGTACAAGTTTTTGTCTAAACACATGGGGGTTTGTTTGTTTGTTTGTTTGTTTGGTTGGTTGGTTGGTTGGTTTTTTGAGATAGGGTTTCTCCGTGTAGCCCTGGCTGTCCCAGAACTCACTCTGTAGCCCAGGCTGGCCTCAAACTCAGAAGTCTGCCTGCTTCTGCCTCCTGATTAAAAGCAAGAGCCACCACTGCCCAACTGAAACACATGCTTTTATTTCGGTTGGAGGGCGGTTTGCAACGAGACCTGAAAATTCTGTTTGGCTTCTAGGGAACTGACAACCTGTCTTGCTAAGCAGGGGCTCCATTTTACATGCTACAGAAAGCTTCCAGTTTCCACACCTCCTTTCCAATCTTTGTTCTTTTATTTTTAATTCTTCCCCTGAACATAGCCTTCTGAGTGGCTAGAAAGTGGCATTTCACTGTGGGTTTGGTTTGCCTTTCTCTAATGACTAATGATGTGCTAGACAAGCCCTGGGCCACTGAGCCATATTCCCAGCCCCTATCTGAACTAATTTTTGCCTGTTTTCTGTTGCTGATGACACAATATCACCCACCAGGTGAATTATAAAGGGGTTTGTTTTGGCTCACAGTTCTGGCCCACGACTAAGGAGCCAAACCTTCCCATGACCTTGCTGGCAGAGTCCTGAGACACCTCAGGGCATCACATGACAGGAAGGACACATGTCTAGGTCTGTCTTCTGGTCTTACAAAGCCACTGGATTCAGCCATGGGGGTGAGGAGGGGCTCACCCTAAAGGTCTGATCTAATCTTAATCATACTTCAAATGCCCCACTTCTTTACAATGTAGTGGGATTAAGTTTCCACCCTCACAATGCCCACAACGGGATTAAACCCCCGCCTGAGCTGCAGTGACGGCAGACCAAGCTCAGACCCTAGCAGGGCTCAGCTTCTTTCTCGTAGAGGTTTCACTACCTCAAAACTTTGAAATCAGGAAGACTGAGTTCTCCAACTCTGTCCTCTTCCAAAGCCATTCTGAGTGGAGTGCACCGCAAGTCTGTATGGATCTTAGGATCGGCTTTCTCGTTTCTGTAGGAGAGGCTGTTAAGATTTTCCTGTGTGCGTCCTCGCTGTAGATTACATCAGTGAGGCTTGCCACTCTGCTTAGCAAAATCAAGTCTTGGGCCCTGCCAGCGCTAAATGTCCTTTAGACTCAGGTCTTCATGTCAGCGCTGTTGACAAAGTTCAGTCCGAAGTATTTGTTCTTCCTGGTGCGGTTATCAATGCACTCGTAAAGTTCAGTTTTGAATTATCCACTCCTCAAGCAGAGGAGCACCTCTGGTTTCTGTAGGGTTTTCAGCTTACCCGGAAGGAAAATAAAGTGCTGTCTGTCGGCCTCTTAGAGAACCCCCTACTCTCTCTGTCTCTCTCTATTTTCAGTGGGTGAGGGTGTGGCATGAAAAAGACTGGGCAGGGAGCATGTGCACTGTCCTGGAGAGGGAGGGACGAGAATAGGACATTGGAGGACACCAGTGATTAGAAGAAAAGTGACTGGCATGCAGGTTCTTGAGGAACCACCGTCAGAGAAGCAGGAGAGAATTTGTGTTTTAACTATGGGCTGGTCCGTAGAACTGGGAAATTTCCATTCCTTGGTTTTGTTTATTTTACGTGAGGCGAGTGGTAGAGCATTTGCCTGGCCTATGTGAGGCACTGGGTTCGAGCCCCAGCACCTCAGAGAGTAAGATGTGGTCAGCTGTGCCCTCCACCATTTCACAGATAAGCTGCCGCCTGACATCTGATGAAAACAGTTTACTTTCCAGGGGGGTGGAGGGAGGGGGGAACCTGGAGACCAGCCAATTAGTCTTCCTCTATGGGTTTTCTTTGTTTGTCTTGGGTTTTAGGGATAGAACCCAGAGCCTTGTGCATGCTAAGCAAGAAAGCAAACATTGTACCACTGAACTACAGCCTTAGCCCCACCCCACTGGCTGATCATATATATATATATTATATATATAATATATATACATATTATATATATTATATATATATATCTCAAATGTCTCAAAATTAAATGTTGGGTGTCTGTGAAGTGAAACAATGGCTTAGAGCAATAGCTTTCTGGTAAACCCTTAACTAGCTTTCACAGAGGTAAGCCCTGATCCTTTAGCATTTGATCATTTTTTTTTTAATTTTTTTGGGGGGTTTCTGAGACAAGAATTCCCTGTATAACAGTCCTGGCTCTCCTGAAACTTGCTCTACAGACCAGGCTGGCCTCGAACTCACAGAGATCTGCCTGCCTCTGCCTCCCAAGTGCTGGGATTAAAGGTGTGCACCACCACCCTCCAGCACATTTTTTAATTTCTATGGTGCAAATGTGGCCTCGTGACTGATTCTGCATTTCCAAAACGACTTCAGTGAGTGAGTGTAGAGCTAAGACATACACACTGGTCCACCATAGCACAGAACTTCTACCAAGCAGGTGAAAATGACTTTAGCATCATAGATCATAGTGGCTAATTTAAAATATTTATCACCTCATTTTAAATGTATTTCCTTTAATTTCAAGTTTATATAGCTTGTCTTTTTAAAGATTTATTTTGATTTATGTATTATGTTGTCTGTGTGTATGGACATATGGACACATGTTCTCAGAGGCCAGAAGAGGGTGTCAGATCCACCGGAACCAAAGTAACCCAACATAGGTGCTAAGAACAAAACTCTAGTCCGCGGCAATAGCATCAGACACTCTTAACCACTGAGCCATCCAGCTCTCCATCCCTTACAACTTTATTTTTAATCACTGATATGTTTAATAACGAATCTGATGATTTCTGGAAGTTCAACTACCCTTTCTCATGAAGCAGTCTGGGCCAGTGGCAGACGGGGAGCTGGGATTGTCTCAGTACAAAGGAAGAGGCTGGGCAACGGGACAGACAGACCTCTCTCAGAGGTCCTGTGTGAGAACTCAGGCTAGCCATCGACTCTGTTTCTTCACCAGCAGAACGGTGATAACCATCTCTCCAGGTGTTTATGAAGACCGGAGAGAAGTGCATAGAATCTCGTGCAGGATAGGTGCTCAGTACTTGGGTTCAGTCTCTGGAATCCATGTGGTAGATAGAAAGAACTCCTAAACACACACATGCACTCACGCACTCACTCATGCACGCACGCATACACGCACGTGCGGGCACTCACACTATATATATATATATATATATATATATATATATATATATATATTTTAAGAAAAAGGAAAAAAATTAACATATAAAGGAAGCCAGCTGGCACAATGCTGGGAACTCCTCCTCAGCTGAGCTGCAGAACAAGCAGAGTGGCATGGGAAAAGCCCAATACACAAAGGAGAGAGAGAGTTGGGTGCTATGCAAATGGCCTATGAGGGCTCAAAAGCCCTCTAGGGGAGGGGGTTCCCTTTGAGCATAGCTAGTTTAACCCACTCCGGTTGTCGGGACTGGTCTGCCTTTCTTGATCAGTGGTTTCTTTCTGCTACCTTTCCCTGTGTGCCTGGTACAACTTTTTGGAACAGAAGAACCTGGAAACTTTCAAGTCATGTGTCCACCTCCACTCTGCCCATAGCGCGACAGCTTTAATCATGACTTCAGTCTTTCCGTGTTGAGACAAAAGGGGGGTGGTGGTGTGGGGGGTGATTGGGAGTTATCCAACGTCCGGCAGGTATGGCATTTGCTTGAGGACAAAATGCAAATAAGTTTCGCTTATCTACTTTGCATGGGCAGAACTCTGGAAGCCTGGCTCCCCGGGGCTGAGGAAGGAGGAGCAGAGACAGACTCAGGGAAATCGGCCTGGTGTGGTGTAACCCCCTTCCTGGCTCGGAAACTTGACGATCTGACCTTTAAAGGTCAACCGTGTTACCTGAAGGGAGCAAGGGTTTCCTGTGAGCGCCGCACATCAATCAACGGATCAGGCAGCCTCTGGGGCAGGGCGCTGTCTGCAGAAAAGAACATTCGATGGGACAGAGGGAAGGAGGGCCCGGCAGAGGTTCTGCTGCGAAGGATGGGGCTGGGGAGAGGGAACCCCGTTCTACCGCGCTCCTCGGAGCTGTGGAGCCTCCGATTTCACACCATTTTGTGAGAAAGCCCACATCCTCTCCACTCTTCTCTGTCCTCCACCGCAAAATGCCAGGGATGTGGCGAACCAGGAAGCAAATGCACCGGAGCCTGGCACCTGATCCAACCTCAACTCGTTCGTCAACATTTCCCAGCCCCCTTGGAGAGGCCTGTGGAAAGATGAGTCAAGGAACTTAATCCTCTTGCCCTGGGGAGCCCAGGTGTCCTTCTCCCACCTCCACCCCGCCCCCTGACCCCGTCCTCCCCACCTCCAGCCTCCGCCCCGTCCCCCCACCCCGACCCCGTCCTCTCCACTGGTCACTTATGAAACACCAACAGGAGGGGTAGCTAAGAGTGTGTTGGAAACCTGGCTGGGGAGTTCGTGGACAAGTCACCTGGCTTCTACTTCTTGTCTGTGAATCATAGATTATAGTACCTATCCTGCAAGATTGTTGTGCGGATAATCATACAGGAAAAGCATTGCCTAATACTAGGTAGCATGCTAGCTTAATTATTTAATAGTTGAGTAACTGCGGGTATTACACCGGCCTTTGCGACCTTGGACAAGCTAACTCATCTCTCTGGGTCTTAGTTTCCTCCTTTGTGTATCTTGGGCCAGATGATCTTGGAGGCGTCTGGTTCTAGCGTTCTGTTTTTCTATGACAAACAAGATTCCTTGCCTCACTCTGGCCCTGCCTATCTACACAGAGATTAGGCCATTTGCTTTTGCAATGCTCAGATAGCAAAGGCCTTTGACAGCTGAGAAGGCTCATTCACTCCCTCCCCTGGAACTGAGTTCCAAAGCTGTGGGACAAGGGGCACAGGATTAGAAAAGAAGGCTGGGACTGGGTGGCAAGACCTGGGTGTGGTAAAAAAAAAAAACTGCCTAAGGGGATAGAAGTGATCATAAGGTGAGGATGTACAGACGCTCCCAGCAACAGTTCCTGGGATCCAGGCCCCAAACGGATAGGACTGGGGAAATGAAACAGATCCCCACTTTCAGAAGACATTTTTTTTTTCTCCTGAACTCTGGTTGAATGAGGCAAAGGCTTCTTTTTAAAAAGGAAGGTGCCGGGCGGTGGTGGCGCACGCCTTTAATCCCAGCACTCCGGAGGCAGAGCCAGGCGGATCTCTGTGAGTTCGAGGCCAGCCTGGTCTCCAAAGCGAGTTCCAGGAAAGGCGCAAAGCTACACAGAGAAACCCTGTCTCGAAAAACCAAAAAAAAAAAAAAAAAAAAAAAAAGGAAGGAGACCCTGTAAATGACTGTTCTAAAGCAAGAGATGGAGATGGGCAGTTAAAGTCCACACTTAGGTCTCCTGGCTGGAGGAGATAAGGGGAAGGTTGAAGGCTGGTGGGTATAATTCTCCACGTTGTCCTGATGTCCCTAACTCAGTAATGGCCCAGGAACCGAATACCACACATATAGTACATCAGACCTTAGTCAAAAGCCTGAGGAGATTCTCTCTGACCTGGGTCCTGGGGCAGACAGGAAACACTTGAGGCTGACTCATTGCCAGAACACCTCTTCTCTTCTCTTCTCTTTCCTTTTCTTTTTAAGGCAGGGTCTTACTATGTAGCCCTGGCTGTCCTGGAACTTACCATGTAGCCCAGGCTGGCCTCGAACTCACAGAGATCCTCCTGGCTCTGCCTCCCGAGTGCTGGGATTAAAGGCATGCGCCACCATGTGTAGTTCCAGAATATCTTAGGTCAATACATCTATTCAAAAATATATTTGTTAATGGAAAAATTGGGATTATATGTAGGGCTCATTTTTCCATGGTGTGTGACTTTTTTTTAGAGCTTGACTTATTTGGGCATACCCCAGTTTCCCGTAATAATTTTTTGTGTGTCAGTCAAGGAACCGCTTTGCAGCTGGGAAAACGCATGGCTCATTAAGAAGGGTCTAAGACCCCAGGCTTCTAGGTGACAGTTCACGGAGTTTGGGTCCCTTTCCCGGCTGGAATGTCTCCGCTAAATGACTGACTTCCTGGTACTTTCCCCACATAGCCTGTCCTGTGATAAATGTTCACGATCACATGTCTTTATTTGTGCGTGCAAGAAGTTCCATGCCTCCCTTCAGCACAATGACAGCAGACTTTCCTCCCTTTCTGTGTTTGTTGTTGCTGGTAGAAGAGAAACTCTCAAGTTCCAAAGGGGCACAGAAGCCCAGGAGCTACCTAGGTTGGCAGCTAGAACCAAGAATGTTAACAAGAAGAAGAAGGAGAAGAAGGAGAAGAAGGAGAAGAAGAAGAAGAAGAAGAAGAAGAAGAAGAAGAAGAAGAAGAAGAAGAAGAAGAAGAAGAAGAAGAAGAAGGGAAAAGAAAAGAAAAGAAAAAGAAAGAAAGAAAGAAAGAAAGAAAGAAAGAAAGAAAGAAAGAAAGAAAGAAAGAAAGAAAAAGAAAAGCTAAAAAAATGATAGGTATCCCTGGGCCTGACGTAGGAAAGGCTGCTTTGCTCTGGGAAAATAGCTCAGTTGGGAAAATGCCTCCTGTGCAAGCATGAGGACCTGTGTTTGATCCGCAGAACCTAAATAAAACAGGAGTGGTAGCAGCTGCCTGTAATCCCAAGTACTGGGGAGGCAGAGGCATATGGATCCTTCAGACATGCTGGCCAGCAGCCGACACCTCATTGCCCAGCTTAAGCCGCTAAGAGACCCTTTCTTACAAACATGGTAGGTGGAATCCCAGCACTCTGGAGGCAGAGGCAGGTGGAACTCTGTTCATTGAGGCCAGCCTGGTCTACATAGCAAGTTGCAGGCCAGGTAGGGCGGCATAGGAGACCCCATCTCAAGAACACAATGACCACCACGAGCAACAAGAAAACCAGGGTAGGTGGTTCCCGAAGAACAACACTCAAAGGTGACCTATGGCCTCCAATGCACCTGCACACACATGTGCGCACACACATGTGTGCGCACACACATACACACACAAAGAAAAGACAAAAATGAAAAAACAGAGCTGATTTTTCTTTGACTGAAATGAGTGTATTGGGGTCAGCTAGATGACTCCGCAGGTCAAGGCACTTTGCAACGTGCCTGATGGTCTGAGCTCTATCCCTGGCACCCATGTGGTAGAAGGAGGGAACTGAAGCCTGCAGGTTGCCCTCTGACCTCTGCATGTATGCTATGTCATGACCCCTCTACCAATATAAACAAATAAATAAAACGCAATTTAAAAAAAAAAAAGAAACATAGAATGTCAGGCTTAAATATTCTATCTATACAGCTTCCACGTGCAGGGAGAAATGCAATCCAACGCCGAGCACCCTAGTCCTTATTAATCAGTAGTTTTATTGGTCCTTCCTTGAGTTCTCCTCAGGGCTGTGGGACTGCTGGCCCCACCCTCTGCCCCATAAGAAGGTGTCTGAGTTCGTGTGCAGATGAACACTTGCCAGCTACTGTTGTCGACTCCCAGTACACTCCTGGACTGGTTCCCTTTGGTTAGGATTCGAGCCCCGGTTCCTCACCCCCCACTCTTCCTGGAGCTGTGGACCCAGCAGGGCTCCTCCATTCTCCCCTGCCGTCCAGTGCAGTGGGCTCCAGGGCTAGCTGGTTGACCCTCAAATGAGACGACACAGCAGGGCCTTGACTGACGTGGGACTTGCCTGGTCCATGTTGGGCTGCTCTCTCCTCCTTTGTCTCTTGTTCCAGACCGGGCTTCTCCCCCAGAGTCCCACACGGGGAACGGGGAAGAGTCCTGGCTTTGCAGAAACATGCTTTCAAAGGGGCGTTAGGGCCTTCACCCCACTTGCGAACCCAGTCCTGGGTACAGCCTTTTCTTCCCACAGTCTCCAGAAGAGGCAGCAGACTCTTTACTTCTCGGGCTTCACAGCTTCCTTATTCCTGACTCTAGGCTCTCCACCAACCCTAAACCATAAACAGAATTATCCTTTCTATCTGTGGGAGATGGTCTAAATCTGAACCAAGTAAGAGCGAAAGTGATTCACAAAAATCTTATCTCCTGTTTCAAATCTAGTGTTCAGGTTGTTGTCTTACTCTGAATTGTCCTTAAGGTCAAAAACTGAATACTAACTCTCTCTTGGCACTCCTCATCAGCTATGCTGATCACCTCTTCCCTTCATCAGACTGGTCATCTGGCCAATACAGAGAAAAGAAGCACACTCGTGTACACACACACATACACATGTGCGCGCACACTTGCGCGCACACACACACACAACTCCCCCAGTTATTGCCCTGTGTGGCAGTTTGTATACTCAGCAATGAGCAAGGTCACTTCTTTCATTTGTTTTTAAGAGAAGAGAAAAGAAGGAACTTAATATCTTAAGGTTAAAAGCTATTCCCTATTCTTCAGCGTAGGAAAAAAAGGACACTTGGTCTAACTGGAGCTGAGCTGGGTATGACGCCTGCCTGTGATCCCAGCACTTGGGAGGCTGAGGTATGAGGCCTGCTTCACAGGTCAAGCCGGTGCATTCTGTTCAGTGATGAGTTGCAGACCTGCGTAGTGAGACGCACACACCCTCGCCCCCATCTCAACACAAAACGAGAAAAAGAAGTATGAAAGTGAGCGTGCGACCAGCCGGTCACACTTGGGAAGTAGGAAAAGGAACAGCAGCCACTTGAAAGACGCAGGGATGAAGTCAGGGGACTCTGCAAATCTCTTCTATTGCCTACTCCTAGTCTGCCCCCAGATGGCTGGGGATGACGGACAGAGCCCTCTTTTCTGGAGTCTGGTGTGAGCCTGCGGTCAACAGGCTCATGCCCCTGCATTCCCCGAGGCCACACTTGGTTTGTGGTCTGTGTGACCCACAGTATGGTGCTGAGGAGTCCCTGGCTTCTCAATATGTCCAACCTTTTTCTGCAAGGCTGCGGACTCTGTGCACTTCTAGGGAGAAGGAAGTTCAACCCCTGTGCACATTCCTCAACCTCTGGTTAGCAGAGAAGCTGTGGAAGCTGAAGGGACAAGGGGGGGGGGGGGACACGACTGCTTGTCATTTCTAGAGCCCGTCAGACAGATTTCTTAAGAAAAAGGCCAATAGGCCTCTTCAAGCCTCAGTTCTTCCTCTGTGGAAAGAGGCCATCAGCTCCTCCCCGCTGGGGCTGCTGAGGGGGGAGGAGATTGCGTAAGTCCCGCATAGAGCCCGCCACCTGGCAAGCTGGAGATCAGTTGTGCCCACGTTTATGCCCCCCCCCCCTTAAAACCAAAAGCCCCAAAGAACCAAAACAATCCAGGGAAAGCAAAGCTGAAGGACCCGGGAGAGGCCCCTTTGGTACGTAATTTAAACAAAAGATGGCTTTGTGTGGCCCTTTTCCTCCTACTGGGTAAGAGCGGGAGCAAAGGTACGGTTCTAACATTGCAGGCCACGTTGTCAGAAGGGATCGCGGCGTGACCGGCTCATCCGGGTTTCTACCACGAAAAAAAAAAAAAAAAAAAAACCAGCAAGGACCTTTGACTCCCCGCTGTAGGGTGGGGATCAAACGCTCAGTGTCCAGCCCCTCTATTGGGCTCTTCTGGTGCCAGAACCAGAAAAGTCCAGCTTTGGGCCGAGTGATTGAAGACAATGTGTGCGTGGATGCTGAGTGGGAGGGCCCTGGTTGAGCAGAAGGGAAATTTTCCGTTCTTGCTTTGGCTTCCTCACTAGGATGTTCGAATGAACAAAGGGGATAGAGTAGGGCAGGCCAGAATCAGGAACGGAACAGCCATGGGCCCAAGAAGTGGAGTGGCCTTAAAATCTGGATCACTGCGGTTCAGCAGCTGGGGAAGTCCTACCTGATAGAGCCCTTCCGCCTTCCAGATAAAGACCCAGCGGATGGTGAAGGCAGATTCTCGCCTGTGTTCCCAGATGATGAATCTGGCTCTCCCAGCTCCTACTAAACCCTCTTTCTACACCAAGAAACTAGGAAAGAGACCCTCAGAGAGGTGAGTACAGCAGGGACAAAAAGAAAAAGCCATCTCTCTCCAAGTCTCAAGAGCTACGATTGGCTTAGCGAGTCCTGGGGTGATTCGTGAAATGAAAGGAAACTTGACTCCAGGAACGCTGCCAGGAGAAGCCTTGGGGATGGAGGCCAAGCGTTCAAACAAGAGGATGAAGTTGAGCAATGGATGGCAGCACTCCAAGGACCGGAAGGGACCAGATGCACCTGCCTCGGCACTGAAGCATGGCGGGATTCGGGCAGGTCTGACCCCAACCAGAGAGAAACGGGAGAGCAAAGGGCTTGGCTGAGAAGCTGGCCATGATCTAAATCCCTTCCAAACTTGAGCATAGCCAGTCTTCCCACGCCAGAATCTTAAGAATGAGGTTAGTGACCCTGCTCTTACACACATGCAAACAATTCAGAAGCTAAAAGGTCGAGATGCTCACACCTGTCTTCTCTTTGGCTGACAATGAGACCATGTAGGTTTTTAGGACATCACTTCCCATGACTCTGAAACATGCAAAATGATGGAAATTGTGTGAATCTGGAGCATTCTATCACTAAGATCCATGGCCACTGACTTGGACTCCACAGCAAGATCCTGTGTCCAGAATAAAAAACAAACCAGTGAACAAAGACAGTGGCTATGGTTGGTGATGGCGGACACGTTGGGTCTGCCACACTCCTTCTTTGGTTTCTAAGTTGGCTTCGTGTTTTCTTACTGATTCTGAGAGCAATCTTTAAATAAATTCCGCCCCCCCCCCCCCCCATAATCATGGGCCAGCAACAGCTACCTGGCTGTATGGGCTCAATCTTACCTGCCTCATGAGAAGCCAAGGCCTTTTAGAACGCTAGCACTCACCGTGACTGAAAACGCACTCGACGGAAGATGAAGAAGTTCACTGTCCCATGCTGTGAAGCACATTTGAAAAGCACTTGCCGGCTTGGCTTGTGTGGTGCCGGGAGGGGGACTGGCTGGCAGGCACTAATGGCTGCCATTCTGATGCTGCTGTGCTCCGCTGAGTTCAGACCCACGCTCAAGTCAGAGGGTTAGAACAAAGGCCAGGGACACCTGGCTAGCCGGGTAACAGATGTTCGGAAGCGGTAGGGTAGGTTAGGTCTTCAAATGTTGAGAAGCAAAGGAGCTTTGGTTCCTTTTGAGGCGATGTCTCAGATGCTAAGGGTCTTGCTTGGACTATAAACTCTGCCCCAGGACTATAACCTCTCCAGTAAACAATGGAGCACTGAGGACTGGAGTTGGCAAGCTTCTTCCTGATTGGAACATGGGAAGCAAACAACCCTGAGATTTACAGATGGTGCTGAGAAAGGTACAGAGTCATGCTTCCTAATATCCCCCAATAAACATAGTCATAAAAGATGGTGGATCTGGGAAACGCCAGTGGGTCTGTTCTCTAGGTCCTGGGATCCCCGTTCCCTCTTTGCAATAACCAGGGGTTCATTCTGTTTCCCGTTTCTCCCGTCTATGCTTTGCATTTCTTTCTTTTCTTCCTTCCTTCTCCCCTCCCTCCCTTCCTTCCCTCCTTTCTTTGTTCTGTCTGTCTTTCTTCTTTCTTTCCTATAAGACAGGGCCTCATTATATAGCTCCGGCTGGCCTGGAACCTCTTATGTAGAACAGGTAGGCCTCGAACTCATGGAGTTCTGGGATTAAAGGTGTGTGCCGCCACACCCCACACTCTGGATTTCTTGTTATTCCTCTCTCCTATCCCAAATGGTTGCAGAGCAAGAACTCATTCTAGCTACCCCAAGGACGAGTCCATCTTCACTCTTTTAAGGATTCCTTTCTTAGGAATTCCAGAAAACGGACTGCAGAGACGTCTCAACAATTAAGAGCTCATGCTGCTCTTGTAGAGGACTGGAGTGCGGTTCCCAGCGCCCATGTGTCCAGGCCCAGGAGATCCCACACCTTCTTCTAGACTCTGAGGGCACCTGCCCACCTGACTTAGGGGGTAACGTGCTTGCTGAGCAAGCCTGACCAGGTGAGTTTGATCTCTTGAATCCAGGTTTTCTAGTTCCTTTTCTGTTGCTGTGACAGACACCTTTACAGAAAAACAACATTGGGAGGGAGGGTTTATGTAGGTCACACTTTTAGGTTACAGTCCATTACCGCAGGCCAGTCACAGAGGCAGGAGCATGGGACCGCCGGTCACATCATACCTATAATAAAGAGCAGACAGAAATAAATGCATAGATGCTGCCTGCTCCCATCTAATCATCTAGCTTTCTCCTGTCTTATACTTCAGGATCCCTTACCTAGGGAATGGTGCTGCCCAGAGTGGATGTCTTCCTACATCAATTAACAATCAAGACAATCCCCATAGATGTGACAAGAGGCCAATCTGATCTAATCTCTCATTCAGGCACTCTTCCCGGGGGACTCTAGGTTGCGACAAGTTGACATTTGAAACTAACCATCATACCACTTACAGGTGGAAAGAAACCAGCAAAGCTAACTTCTGACCCATTGACACCCCTGTGGTGTGTCTGGAATCAGATCATGGGAACATTATGACCCAGAAACACAGTGGCATCAGAACAGCAGTGCGTAAGATGGCCTCTTAGCATCTCGTGTTCATGGGGACTCAGTCCTACCTCTGTTAGTGACTTTGCAGAACTATTGAAGCCCCCTGAGAGATTAATAAAAAGGGTCCTGGCTGTTTCGTTTGCTGTAGGTCAATGGAAAAAAAATGGAAGAACGTTCACCTCCCATGTGTGAGGCCCTGGGTTCAGTCTCTAGCACTGGGGAAAAATGTCTGCCCACCATGCTTTGACTGGACGTGGTGATTTGTGCCTGTAGTCTTAGCACTCAGGAGATAGAGGCAGGAAGACTGCTGCAGGTTTGAGGCCAGCATGGTCTACAGAGTGAGCTTCAGTACAGAATGAGAACCTGTATGAGGCACAGGAGAGGAAGTATTCTAGAAATGACAGGGAAAAAATGACCTATGACATCTCAACAATACAGCTGCCTAGACAAGACTGAACAATGGCAGCGTCAACAGACTAATAAGTTGCCTTGGTCATGGTGTCTTATCATAGAGATAGGAAAGTAACTAAGACCGAGTTCCATGGGTTTCCGATAACACCCTTCTCCTTAGCCCCGTCATTTTCTGTCCCCCTTACTCCATGTCAATTTTCTTCATGGTGCGACTGAATCTTGATTCTCATCCTTAGTAGAAGGTAAGCTCCATGAAGGAAAAAAAAATTGTTCCCAGGTGGATTCTCCATACCTAAATCAGAGCTTGGCACCCAGGAGGAACTGTGAATTGATGACTGAGTGAATGAATGATTGAAATTCTCCTACAAAATGTCAGCCAACCCCTTCATCACCCACTATTATAGTATTATACAGAGTATTTCATAACCCTAAAATCTGTTTATTTTTTCAAGATTTATTTTTATTGGCATATATTTGGTGTGTATTTGTGAATGTGTATCACATGTGAGTGGGTGCCCAAGGTGGCCAGAAGAGAGCTTCAGATGCCCTGGAGCTGGAGTTATAGGTGGTTGTGAGCTGCTTGCTGTGGGTGCTGGGAACCGAAGTTGGGTCCTGTGAAGGAGCAGTATTTGACCTTAGCTCTTGAGCTATTGCTCCAGCCCTACAAATTTCTTTACAGTCTTTTTTTCTTTCTTTTGAACTGAAACAGGAGTTAATGTAGCCTAGGCTGACTTCCAGTTCACAATGTAGTCCAGGGCAGCATTGAGATCTGCTCACTTCTACCACCATGTGCTGGGATTCCAGGCAGGTATCCCCACATTAGCTTCCTGAGGTACCAGGATGGGGAGCCCCAGGGCTTTGTGAATACCAAGCAAGCACTCTACTAACTGTGTTACATTCTCAGCTCCTCCTTTTAGTCTTTTTGATGCTTTTTGTTACCCACGTAAATAAAAACAATGCCTCCCCTTTATTGGCTATACTTCTAATCATTTCCATAGGATAGCATTCAAAACTGTGCACCCAGCTGGGCATGGTGGCACACACCCTTAATCAACCCCAGCCCCTGAGAGATTGAAGCAGGAGAATTTCTGTGAGTTTCTAAGGCCAGTCTGAGTTTTATAGTAAGACCCTTATCTCACCGCGCTGTGGTGGCACAAGCCTTTAATCCTAGCACTCGGGAGGCAAAGGCAGGAGGACTGCTGTGAGTTTGAGGCCAGCCTGTGTGTGAGTGTGTGTGTGTGTGTATGTGTGTGTGTGTGTGTGTGTGTGTGTGTGTGTGTGTGTGTGTGTGTGTCTGGTGGCTCATGACCATAATCCCAACACTCAGCATGCTGAAACAGGAGGATTGGCATGAGTTCAAGGCCAACTTGGGCTATATAGTGAGTTCCAGGCTACCTTGGGCCATAGCATAATACCTTGTCTCAAAACACAACACCTCCCATCCCATCCCCTAGGCTGGCCTCAAACTCACAGCAAAATGTGCACCCACATGGATGACTACTTTTAAGGCATTTTGAAGACATTGCCAAGTTGCTTTCCAAAGAGACTGTGCTTGTATGCATCCCTCCATCGGAGAATGGGAGCATGGAAGTCATCTGGCCTCGCCTGATCTGGCCTCCCTTGGTCTGATTTCTCTTTATCTCTTCACACTTGCCAAAATCACCTAGGAAAATATTTAAATAAAGATACTGTGTAAAACAGTGCTACCAGCCAGATGTGGAGGTCCAAGCTTGTAGTCCCAGCACTCAGATCCCAAGTTTGAAGCTAGCCTGGACTACATGGTGAGATCTCACGTCAAAACACTTTTTTTTAAAAAAAAAGCTGATATCAAACACCATCTTAAATTTCCCAGTGAGAGATAAAATGTGACCAGTTGAGACACCCTCTTGATTTGACAGTATGCTTCAGGCCTTGGTGTTTTATGACCATAGTTAACTTCTGCCCCAAATCTCATCACCTCAGTGGACAGCCAAGCCCTTGTCCTTCTCCCTGAGCTAAACTAAGCAATTTTCTTCTTTGTGTGTGACTACCTGTATTAACCCTCGGGACCCTTCTGAGCTTACCAGGCTGTCATCCAGCCCATAACGGCTTTCTGGTGGCTCTTTTTCTGTTCTGAGTGCCCCATGTGAGACACAAGTGGCTGTATTTGTGTCTTTTCACAAAGTTGGGATAATAGCAATACATTCACCAGTGACATCCATTTTCTCGGC